AAGGGCTATACCCTCTCTCTCACCCCGGCTGACTTCTCCTTTCTCCATAATTGTTCAGTAAATGACTCCAGAATACACAAGAATCATTTTGCTGCCACACATTCCATTCCATAATGACTGCTCATTTCAATTAGCTGTCGAGGCCTGAAACAGAGCTGCCCAGCCTTGCTTGGATAAATCACCACCTTTGTTTGAAATTGGATTTAAGGCAGCCGTGGCAGGGAGGCTGGGGCAAGGGGATAAATATTTTATCATTTCTTCCTCAGTGCTCTGCCAGTCTGTTCTCATTCTCGTGTTCCTCCCCATGCTCACTGGCAGATTGTTGACTGTAAATTTGAGGGGCAATAGTAAACCTGCAAACATGATAAATAAACATGTTGCTTTTGCGAGGACAGTTATTATTATCAACCAGATTTACAGCTCTCCACGTCTGCCCATTTTATTGCTTTTTGGAAAAGCCAAGTTGGGTTTCCGTGTTACCTTGATCAACTTTCTGCCCTCTGCCCCCCGACATCCACTCTGAGTCATTTAAATATCAACATGGACCAGGGATACAATTTGTCTCTCTGGAAGCAAATGTGTCCTGACAGGTGTTTTCTTTGGGGACGGTTATTTATAACCGCCAAAGCTATCATACAGTGGGGCGCCTTTGTCTCCTCTCATTTCTCTAAAAGTGAACATATTTTTGTTTCCCGGTGGGAAGAAGTGCCAGATAAATGATTTAAACCTCTCCTTCTCTGTTTCTCTCCCCACGTCCTTTCTCTGCCTCTCTCTCTATCTCTGCTTATTCTACCTTCTTCTGTCCCCTCCACCTTCTGGACAGGCATGGATCATCCCCAGGTTCAAATCCAAGTGCTGCCACCAACTCTTGTGTCCCTTGAGCAAATTATTTAACTTCTCGGAGTTAAGTAATTTAAAACTGCACGTGTTCCTTCTCCCATGTTCCCCGTTGCCTATTTATAAGAGAGAATTGAATGAGATCTTTCTGTCATCTCTATACCTTCCCTCCCCCAACCCTGACTTAGGTGGTGAACTCTTGGGGACACGAAGCCATATCAACTCAATATGTTTTCTCCCTTCTTTCCTGGCTTCTCTGCTCCCTTCCTGGAGCTGCCCAGGCCAGAATCTTGGGGTCCTCTTTGTTTTCTTTGTTATCTCCCCACCTCCACGTTCAGTGTGTCACCAGGTCCTGCAGATTCTTCCCCCAGCTCTCTGCGTACTATATGCTGCTCTCTGATCCCAAAGCCTCACATTTCTCATATTGTTGAGTGTCCCCAAAGTACCAGGCACTGAGCTTGTCTCTGAGCACTGTCCCCTCTCATTAGGAGCATGTAGGAGTGTCTTTATTGCTTTAAGGCTTGCCCCTCCCATCCTCTCTCTCTCTCTCTCTCTCTCTCTCTCTCTCTCTCTCTCTCTCTCTCTCTCTCTCTCTCTCTCTCTCTCTCTCTCTCCCCCCCCCCGCCCACCCTCACTGTAATAGCTAAGGGCTGGGGCAGTGGAGCGCGTGCCTGCAGATTCTGTTGCTAAGGAAACCACTTCCTTGGTTACCAGCCTGGGTAGCATTTGTCTCACTAGGTCTGGATCCTGCTGAGTCGCCCCCACTCTTCAGGAAGAGGATGAGGAGATGATAGAGAACAAGAGGAGTTGGGGGAGGGAGGCAGAGAGAGAGGCAGATAGCTCAGAGATCAAGAGGTAGAATGGAGAGATTTTGCACAGGCAGAAACAAAAATCAAGGAAGAGAGAAAGAGAGGGAGAGAAAGAAAGAGGGGGGAAGGAAGAGGAGAAGAGAGAAGAGAAGGAGGGGCAGAAAGACAGGAAAGAAAAGAGATTTAATGAGCAGCTGGAGGAAATCAGAGACCACAAAGAGGGGAATTGAGAACAGGTGGCTGGGTAAAGAAAAACAGAGAGAAAAGGGGGAGGGATGGGGCGAGAAAACAATGAAGGAGAGAAAGGGGAAGGAAGGGGGCCTGGCCTCTGGGAGGAGGCTGGGTCCCTGCAGGACCTGCTCCCAGCAACCTTTTTGCCTCCCCCTCTACCCATTCCTGCATTGTCCACTGGGATGTATCTGCAGCCTCCTCCGGGGTTATAGGAGAATCCAGAAGAAATTCCCCAAATCAGCAGATTCTGACCCCTGCTTGTTCTCCTGAGTCCTGGAGCCCCAGGCGGCAGGAGGACGAGAGTCCAGATGCCCTGGCTTCCAGACCAGGCATGGACCCTGCACTGGGGAACTCTTGGATCCAAAACTTTCCTTCCTGTTTAGGTGCAAGGGCCATGTCACTCTCTGTATGTGGAAAGGACCTTTAGGCCCTTGGAGGAGGCCATGGCCCCAGCTCTGCTATAGCAACCTAGGCTTTCTGGGTTTGGGGGATGCAGCCTGGGGTTTTGGGCGATGCACTGTGAAAAAGTATCCACTTGTGACTGTTGCACCTTGAGTTCTTGCTGTTTCAAAAAATTCCAGGAAGAAGCTCAGCCCTGGAAAAGTAAAACCCAGTTGGATCCACAGATGCCTGAGTTGGAGATGAACTTTGGTGAACTCTCCCCACACCCTGCCCAATCCCGGGGAGGAACTTGTTGGCCATTTTCTACGCATGCGACATATATGGAAGCGTGATCCTCCACTGCGCCTGTGCTGCCTTGACCCCAGCTCTGCATTCAATGGCTCGGCTCACCAGCCCAAGAGCCCTGTGTCCACCGTTGTTCAGGGAGGCACTGCTTGGGAAGCATCCCTAGTGTCCTATTTACTTGTGACAAGTAAAGTCCCCCTGTTAAATCTTCCTTGGTTGTGGTCACCCGCCACGCCACTGAACCCACTGGTTGTGTGGGTAACACTATTAGTTTCTGTGTGGCTTGGGCCAGCCGCTGCCTGCCTCTGAGCACCGATGTCCCCCTATAAAATGGAGTTAACGATGTCTGTTCTACCCACCTCATGGGGTTGGTCAGGAACCACTCCAGTCCATTTCCTTCTTTGTCTCTCCATGATTTCCCTGAAAGTTTTCTGATCACTTTGAGATATCTGCTCTGTACCAGTAAAATGGAAGCTTCTGGAGCACAGATTTTTGTCCGTCTCGTTACCCTCTTAGTTCCTAGAATGGAGAGCAGTGCCTGACACATGGTAGGTGCTCAGTAAATATGGAATGAATGAATGAATGAATGAATGCTACCTTGGTTCCTTCTGGGTCTGAAATATGAAGATTTTATTCCCGATGGCTGATGAAGTGTGATAGGAAGGGCAGAAATCAGCCAAAGAAGAGGCTGGTAAACTGTCCAGCCCCACCTTTGGCCTAAACAGCTTTCGCACCACCCCCTCCCACCTGACGGTGATCTGTGGTGGGGGCAGGTGGAAAGTGAGGATTTACATAAGGCACATAATCTGTGGGTTCTGAGAAGGATCCATGAGAGCTTGGAGCTAGATGCTGCATGGCTTCCTGCACCTCCAGTTGGGAGATTTGGTTGCATGGATAGTATTTAGAAAAGTGAAAGAAAATTGGCACCTTGGTTCAGGGCTCAGCCTGTGACCAGGATCAGAGCTCAGTCCATGACAGAGATTAGGGCTCAGTCAGGAGACACCATCAGCATTAGTTCTGGGGCAGGTAAGGGCCCAGTCTGTGACTGAGGTTGGAGTACAGTCAATGACTAGGGTCAAGGCTCAATATAAGTAGTTTGGGACTCAGTCCAATGTGACTCAGTCAATGTGGGGCAGGAATGAGGGTTCATGGATCAGTATGTGCACAGGATTAAGGCTTGGTCTGTGATCAGGATCAGGGCTTAACTTTGACTCAGGTTCAAGGCTCTAGGATTGGGCTCAGTCTGTGACCAGGTCAGACTTGGTTTAATATTGGGGACAGAGTGTATTCTGGGCCCAGATCAGAGTTCAATCAGTCATCACAGAATGAATTTTGTGAGCCAAGATGAACCCCTAGAGAAAGACCCTATTCTTCTGGATTCTGGAACAAACTCACACCCTTTCTGAGATCTTCTCCGATCTCCACCAGTTGCCCCAGCACTCTCAGTCCTTCTGAGCTCTCCCTGCCTAGGGGAGGAGAAGCCTCTTTCTCTTTCCTCTGCCTGGCCCTGCTCCTCCCCTGCTTACTTTCCATACAACACTTTGGTCTCACTCTGGCTGGGAAATAGCTCCAGGACATCAGCACCTCCTCCCAGAAGCCCTCCTGATGCACAAGGAGGAAGAGCACAGGATCTTCCTTCAGCAGTATGTGGAGGTTTAGAAAAGCTCATCTGCATCCACCAGGAAGCAGAGGGGACTTCTCTGTCCTCCTGGACTCTCACTGACTTCCCTGCTGCATATACCTGTGCAAAGCGTTATGCTCAGGGTCTCTCTCTCTCTCTCTCTTTCTCTTTCTCTCCCCCTCACATACACACACTCTCTCTCTCACACATACACAGAAGGACGCCTCTCATAGATAACCTCTTCCATACCTGTGCACATACTTAGGCAGGAACATTTTCATGACCCTCTAGTGATCTCATCCTACCTACCACTTCTCCCCACAGCCCCTCCCTCTCAAAGCAGCCATGGACAAAAGGTACATGCAGAAGACATGCCCTCCATAAATAGACAGGCAGCTTCTCACACCTGGGTTTCATGCACATTAACCATATCCTCCTTTACATGGGTGCAATCCCATACACAAAAACCTGTACAGACACATTAAAAATGGGACGGTCATCATGGCAACTTGCAGGATACAGTCTCAAAACACAGAGAGGCAGGTGGACACAAAGGCAATTTTACACACAGAGGCACGTAATTCTTCCTAAGCAGCTACGCCAGGGTCACATAGGCACAAAAGCAGTTATACACCAACCCGCCCATCACCCTGAACATGTTCTGTCTCTCTGTTTCTCATCTCTCTCTCTCTCTCTCTCTCTCTCTCTCTCTCTCTCTCTCTGTCTCTCTCTCTCTCTCAGACACACACATTATACACACACCAGGAAAACATCCCATTTGTGAACCTGTCTTACACAACACTCTACCACATGGGAGAATCATCAACAAAACTCGCATTTAATGATGGTGTTGACCTGAGGAATTGTCAGACGGAAGCTTGTGGTCAGAGGGGACCACCAGCAAAGAACTGACCTAGGTCTTGGACCAAGAATCTCCCAGAGAGAGCCGAACTCCCAATGGAAGGGAGACCAAACCCTCCACTGCTTCATGGAAAAGACTAGAAATTCACCTGGGGTAAAGAAACACGGTACAAAATACATTCAGAGCCCCCTGGGTGGGCCTGGGGCAGCCCAAATCCTACAGATGAGGGAATTGGGGAAGGGTGGCACAGGTCTAATCCCTGTGCCCTTTTCTTTGCATGGCCAGATTCCAAGGGACGGAATGTATTAATCATATTCCTCATACAAAAATATATCTCTTTACACGCACTTTCTCCGTGGTCTCTTTGCTACTTGGGAATGAGCATTTACCTGCACCCCAAGGCTTCAGAGGGACCACTTAGGGAGGCTGCTCCAACAGAATAGCAAAGAGGCTGTGATCTATGGCTTTTTCATCTACACAATGATGGATGGTGCAGGTGTGGAGCTGGTGGGAAGCCACTGGTGTCCAGGGGTTGGAGAAGAGATGGGACCCTGGACCAACACTTTGTAAGATTGATGCTCCGTGATTCAGGTCCTCAGAAATCCTTTGGTTTGGCATCTCAGCATCAAGAGAGCAGTGTTTGTATAGAAATAACACAATTTCATTCACCCCATTCCTTAAAGGGCCCCCCCAAGGGAATCTGGCCTGTTGGACTATGATCAAGGGGAGACAGGTGGTCTGGGAAGGTAGTGGGGTTCCATTTTGGGTATGGTTTCATCTGATTAAGAGCACTCTTGCTGTCTCCCCTAGATAGCAAAGGACCCATCTGTAAGGGTCAGAAGGGCAGTGTAAGACTGACTGAAGCCCATCATGGAGAGATGTATCACTGGGGCTCTCTCTCAACTCAGATTCTGCAGTTGGCAGGTGACCATCCTTGTGGGTTCACTGGTGGTGCCTGAGGTTCCTTGGATTTGGGATCAGGATCCCAAGGTTACTTCCTAGACCCAGCATGGACAGAAGGGGGCAGGGTTTATGCCCTGGAGGTGGAAAGGCAAGCAGCTTGTTTCTGAGAAGCAGTGTGGCCTGGGGGTTGGCCCATGACACCAACAGCCCCACTTGGTGTCTCCAATTAACCTGCCATGAGCACCATTGCCTCCCCACTCTATCCAGGATGTCAGAAGCCTAAGGCCACGGAGAAACTTCCCAGCAATCTTTCTTTAGAATGGAAGGTGGCCTGAGTTAAATGTCAGTGCCAGTGCTTCTTGCGTGGAGATGAGAACGGGGCTACGAAAGCTCAGCCCAGAAAGGACAAGCATCTGGGACCACATTTTTACAAAAGTCCCCCAGGCCATGGGGCATCCAGCAAGTCTCCTTGAAGCTGATGAGCCCTCCCTCCCACAAGCAGAACCCAGAGTGGCAGGGGCAGGGGCACAGGGGACAGAAAAGAGCCCATGTAACTAGGACCCCCCAAACCAGATGCCCCACATTGCCAAGAGGGGAACATGTGAGTAGGGTTTTAGTGCCTGGACAATCTCTTCCCTTGAGCCTCCTCTGTCATGCAGGAAACTCATTGAAGGCAAAGAACAGTCAAGGGGATTGTCCCCAAACCAAAGAGAGGACAGATCAGTGGGGTCACCAGGGGTCTTGAGTCCACAGGGCCTGCATGGTCAGGACTCCTAGTCTACCCTCCCCCCATGCGGACACATCATCTTGGGTAATAGTCATCAGGGACACCTGTGAGGTTCCTCCCTTTGAGGGCTGTGTCCACCATCTTGATGTAGGCAGAGATGGTCTTCTGCATGTCCGCGGTGTAGGGGTCATACTCAAGCTTCCGGAGCCCCGAGCGCTTGAAGTTTCCATCCTTCTGGCTCTCCACACAGAGCAGCCGGTCCTCCCTGACAGCCACACCCAGCAGACTGACCATCCGGCCCAACTGGACGAAGAGGTCCTGCTTCAGGTCCTCAAAGTGCACCACCAGCACCTTCTTGCCAAATTTGAGCCAGTCCAGTGTGTGAGTGGCCCACCATGGGGCATAGTTCCTCACAAACTCCGGCCACTCTGCAGAGGGAGGAGGGAGGACACAGTCAGAGGGAGGAGAGCTTGAAAGACCCAGTCAGATGGTGCTGGCCATTGTTACCGTTATTCACAGTACAACACAATGACACAATTAACAATTAAGTATAATAACACAGACCAGGTGAGGTGGCTCACACCTATAATCCCAGCACTTTGGGAGGCCAAGGCTGGAGGATGGCTTGAGGCCAGGAGTACAAGACCAGCCTGGGCAACACAGCAAGACCCGATTTCTATAAAAAATAAAATAGCTGAGCATGGTGGTGCATGCCTGTAGTCCTTGCTACTCAGGAGGCTGAGGTGGGAGGATTGCTTGAGCCCAGGAGGCTGAGGCTGCAGTTAGATATGATGATGCCACTGCACTCCAGCCCGGGGGACAGAGCAAGACCCTGCCTCTAAAAAACAAAAAGAATAACAACTTTGCTCAATTCACTCCATTTGGAGCTTTAAACACACCCCTATACTTCTCACCTCAATGCTGTTTCTCCCTGGAATATTCTTGGCCACCACCTGCTCTCTGGGGATAACAATGATACTTGTTTGGTGACGGCTATATGCCAGGCACAATCCTATATATAAGTATGTGCTACTACAACATAATATACAACGTATTATTATATTATATATTATTTATGTTCAGATATAATGTATTAGTTGTATATTCTAGATTACATACTAACTTATTAATAAATATATTAATATAGCTCTTAATTCCACTTACTCTTCAAACAACCTTACGAGGTATCATCATTATCTCCATTTAACAGAAGAGAAAACAGAGGCACAGAGAGGTTAAGTAATTTGCTCAAGGTTATAGAGCTAATAACTGGCAGAGCCAGGATTTGAACCCAAGCAGTCTGGCTTCAAAGACGGGGCTTTTAACTACCAGGCTTTTCTGTGTAATAGTAGTATCTCCTCACGAAACAATAATAGAATTGTTGTACAAAGTAGAAAAAAACGTATACAGTTTCTAGCATGGTGTATCGAGTTCAGCAGGTGCTCAGCAAATGTTGGCTATCATTATTACTGATATTATTCTGTTTTCAGATCGTCTGCTCTGACTCCCTGGGCTCAGGCATGTGCCTCCTCTGGGTTTCACGGTTCCCCTCTCCATCCCCTGCAGCCCCCCAAAGCAATCATTATACTGTGCTGAAAGCCCCGACTTCTGTGGTCTGTCTCCCCAGCAGACTGTAAGCTATCTGGGGGCAGGGTTTAAGTTGGACTATTTTTCATCTTCACACATTTTTGTCCCACCTTTTAAAATTTTTCATGGAAGTGTCATGGTGAAATGACAGGATGGATTGTCATGCAAACTGGGAGGGTACATTTGGGACTGTCTGACTTGAAAGATAGGTTAGAGAGAACCTGGAAATTCCATGAGGGGAGGTAGTCAGCTCCCTGAGCTGCTGAAACTCCCACAGTAGAAGGAGCCGGGGAAAGTGCAGAAGGGGGACCTGGAGAGTGTTGGGAACAGAAAAAAGGAATTGCAGCCTCAATTCTGAGCCCCAGCTAAAGAATCAGAGGGCAGGAGCTCCAAAACCATGAACAGAGACCTGCTGCTTCTTACAAGGGCAAACACTACCTGGTGCCCGCCAGAGCAGGCAACAGGAGGACTCTGTTTATTGAACAAGGGTGGTGAGTCCCCCAGGCTGCATTGGGGATCCCAGCTGGTTCTTAAAAATTAAGTCCTAATCCCTCACTGGGTGCTGGATACCCATTATCTTATTTAATCCTGCTGACTACCCTGAAAGGAAAAGAACTATTGTCCACTCATCACCAGGGAGGAAATGGAGGCTCAGAGAGGTGAAGTGACGGTCACGGTCACACAGCCAGGAAGCACTGTCCAGATCAGGCCTGCCTGGTTCCAGGATGGATCTTTCCCAGGCACCAGCAGCCTCATCCTGACTTCCTCCCAATGCCTGTACTCAGCAGGTGCTCAGTGAATGGTTGTTGAACTAAATTGAAATTCGCAACTGCCAAATTGCAGTGTGGCTAAGGCCTCCCTTTCTTTGCAGAACTCATCAGAATCTGTGGCAAGACTTCTCCCCGCCGGCAAGTCCTCTGGAACATTCTGGCTGCTTGGGAGATATTTATGCTGGTGATGAGGATATTTTTTATCCTTAAAATAGATTATTTACAATGTATCTGACTAATTGGGCCTGCACTGTTATAATGGGTTAAGACCAGATGTATCTGAGTGATTAGGAAAACTCTAGTATGTTGCATGCTCATTTTCCTTTTTCAGAATTTCCCCACTCCTGCATCACCTCACAGCATCGCGGGTGATTCCGAATAGCTGCTACTCTCAGGGGAGACGCCCAGGTGATAGGGATGATGCTCGTCACCCAGCACCCAGCAACAACACAGATCCAAACTTCTAGGCTTGGCCATCTCTCGCCATCTCAAGAGGCTGCTGAAAGAGGGCTGCAGGATGGCTCAAGAAAAAGGAAGGAGTCTCTCAGGTAGCTCCAGGTGTCCTAGTCTTGGATGCCGGTGGGATGGAGATGACAGAGTGTCCTTGTGGACTGCAAACCTCTGTGGGATACCAGGCACCTCTGTCTGAAGGACAGGAAGGGAATGCATGTTGCCTGAGCATTTGTTGGGTATTGGGAGCTATGCAGGGCACTTTGCATGCATGGTCTCATTCCATGCTCTCAAGTAGCCTAGCGAGTAGGAATTATTAACACTGGCTCCATTTTAGACACAGGGAAAAGGAGTCTAAGAAGCAGGAAGTAACTTGCCCAAGTCCACACAGTGGGCGTTAAAGACAATTTGAACCCGCACCTATCCCAGACTGTAGAAGCATCACTCAATTCAGCAATCCCAATACTGTATATCTACCCAAAGAGAAAGAAATCATTACATAAAAAAGACACCTACATACATATTTAGTGCAGCACTATTCACAATAGCAAAGGTATGGAATCAATCTCCGTGTCCATCAATGGAGGACTGGATAAAGAAAATGTGGTCATTTGGGTTGGTTCCACTTCTTTGCTATTGTACACAGGGCTGCAATGAGCATATGTGTGCATGTGTCTTTATAGTAGAACGATTTATAGTTCTTTGGGTATATACCCAATAATGGGATTACTGGGTCAAATGGAATTTCTATTTCTAGATCCTTGAGAAATCACCACACTGTCTTCCACAATGGTTGAACTAATTTACACTCCCACCAACTGTGTAGGAGTGCTCCTATTCAGTTGGGGGGATGGTAGGGGAGGGACAGTGGGGGGTGGGGAGGGATAACATGGGGAGAAATGCCAGATATAGTATACACCTAAAGTAAAATTAAAAAAAAAGAAAATGTGGTATGTATACACACACATGCATATGTATATAAAATATTTATTTTATATTTTATTTATATTAAGAAACCTACACTTTATGCCCTAACTATATAAAAATAAATACATTTTTAAAAAGAAAAAATAGAGCACCTAGGTCTGACCAGCTCCTGCCCTCTTCTCACTCCAGGACCTGGGAAGCATGACTTCTAGGCTGCCTGCTGCTCAATTCACCTTCAGGTTGTCGTCTGAGACCTGGGGTCTGTTTATAGGTGATTCTGCAGTCAGGCTGCCAGGGTTCAGAACCAGCTCCTCCCCACATGAGCTATATGACTTTGGAGACGCTACTTGATCTTCAGCTTCGGTGCACCCATCTGCAAAGTAGTGATCTGGATGAGACCTATCTCCTACAGGTGCTGCGAAGATATGTATATATGCAGCGAAATAAGTTTTGCAAAGATCCTGGTACGGCACCTGGGACAAGCAAGGTGCTCGATAAAAATTGGTTACTGTTATGATTCTTTGTGATGATATTCATCCTCCTGTATTCCCTGACTCCCTACATGCCCCCTCATTTTAGACCAAGCATCCCTCCAAAGTCACAATAGATATCCAAGCTGTTTCAGCAGCAGACGTTTGTCCGCCTTGCCTCCTCCTATGGCAATGCTTCCTCCCTTGAAACTCCCAAATGACTTCCTTGGAAAGAAGAAGAAGAAAAATGGAAAACCGAAGCCCTCGATTAACTCAGGATTCCCGATAGCTGATTTCTGTCTGCACACTGGTCAATAGAGCCATGGAACATTGGAAATGAGTGCTGTTTCCACCAGAACTGTCGTACGGGTGTGCCTGGTGGGGCACAGGCTGGCCAGCCTCCCCTCCGTCTTCTTGTTGATGGAAGGAACTAGGGCCTGATTAACAGCTTAACTGCACTTAATCCCCCACAGAATCGTTAAACACAATGTCTGTTTCATTAGACAGATCCGGGACAATTCACCTTGTATAATCATATCACATACAATTTTGCTCTGAACTCACTCTAGGGAGATTGTAAAAATTAACACTATGGAACCAAAAGCAGGTTGGGGTGGTGGTTGTAGGAGCCTGGACTGAGATGTAATTGGGAGGGGGACAGGGCATGGTGGGGTGGACACACTCAATAGCTAGGTGACCTTGGCTCTTAGAGGGTGACCTTCACATTCTATGTCACTAAGGACATCCAAAAGCAGCAGTTCTCAAACTTTAAGGTGCCCACGAAGAGTCTGCGGAAATCTTGTTAAAATGCAGATTCTGACCCAGGAAGGCTGGGAGAGAGCCTGAGATTTGCTTGCCTAAAAATCTCCCAGGTGCTGTCCATGTCGCTGATTCACAGGCCACACCTAGGTCTTATAGCAGAAAAGAACCCTCCTTCCAAGAGAGCAAGGGTTCTTTTTTTTTTTCTTGAGACAGAGTCGCACTTTGTCACCCAGGCGGGAGTGCAGTGTCACAATCTCTGCTCACTGCATTCTCCACCTCCCATTCAAGCAATTCCCTGTCTCAGCCTGGGATAACAGGTGCTTGTCAGCATGCCCAGGCAAATTTTTGTATTTTTAGTAGAGATGGGGTTCCACCATGTTGGCCAGGCTGGTCTTGAACTCCTGATCTCATGATCCACTCACTTCAACCCCCAAAGTGCTGGGATTACAAGGGTGAGCCATCGCGCCCAGCCGCAAGGGTTCTTAAACCAGGGTGCTTGTCGGAATCACCTGGAGGGCTTGTTAAAACAGATTGCTGGAGCCCTGCTCCTAGAATTTCTGATTTAGTAGGTTTGGGGATGGGGCCTAAAAATGTGCATTTCTACCAAGTTCCCAAGGGATGCTGATGCCATTGATTCTGGACCTTAAAGCAAGAGTCTCAAACTCAAGTGTCTCCAGGGGCCAGATGGTGAATGCAAAGGAGCAGAATGGGCTGAATGGAGACAGGGGGCTCTGTTCTCTGGGGAAGGCTCTCTGCCAGAGCCCTTGCATACCTGGGTCAGGCCTTGGAGGGGGCACTTGGAGAAGATCCCTTCCCCCATCTCAGGCTCGTATGGACCCCAGGTCTCCAATACGAGAGGAGTGTGGTGGTTCCTCCATCCCATACTCCCTGAGGTCTCTCTGTTCAACCTATTATGACTCCTTCCTTAGTGTTGGTTTAGAGCTCCCAGCTATCTTGGATAAGAAAAAAAGGAGAGATGGGTGGCTCTTGGGAATTGGGAGACTTGTCTGAACCTAACACAGGGTTCAGGTTCCTCTTCCCCTGGAAGAGGAAAATATCTGAATGTACCACAGGGTCAGCAACATCTCAGGGCAGCAGAGGCTGATGGTTAATGCCTCGGTTTGAATCACAGCTCAGTCATTACCTAGGGCCTTAGCCAAGAGACTTCTCTCTTCCTGGGATGGTTCTCTCACCTGTAAAATGGGATGTACTGATGATCATTGCCTTTCTTACCTCCTGTGGGCCTTAGAGAGTTTAGATGAGATAACAATCATGAAGGGCCCACAAGAGCTTCCCAAGTAAGCCCCTTTTCTGTTCACTTGGGATAGCAGGGTGCTTGGAGTGGGAGAACTGGATCCTAGGGCTAGACCAACCTTGGTGGTCTCTGCCTCTCTCTGGGCCTCTGTTTTCCCACTAGTCAATAGGAATCAGTGGCTCCCAGCCCTCCATGCACATTAGAAGCAGCTGGGGAGCTTTAAAATAATATTCATACATGGGGGTGGGGAACACCACCCACTGGGGCCTGTCAGTGTGGGGGAGGGAGGGCATCAGGAAGAATAGCTAATGCATGCTGGGCCTAATACCTAGGGAATGGGTAGATCTGTGCAGCAAACCACCATGGCGCACGTTTACCTGTGTAACGAAACTGCACATCCTGAAAATGTAACTCAGAACTTAAGATAAAAGTTGAAAAAGATATATTGATGTCCAGGTGCCACCCAGTAATAGTCCAGGGTGCAGCCTGGGCACTGGGGTTTGCCCACTCTCCTCCAGGGACTCCAAGGAGCAGCCAGCACAGAGGCCCACTGGGGTCGCTGATGTCCCAGGTCTTTTCCAGCTTTGACAAGAAGAGTCTGTGCTTTTAGGACAGGGTACTACCATGTGCACATACGGATATCTCAGCCTAGCGACCAGTGTTTGCTTTTGATTGATTGTTCTACAAATAAATAATTCAGAGGTCTCTCTACCCCTGGGCATAAATGGACAGATGTCACCACCTGTCCAAGCTTCCACCCCCTCACTGAGAAGAGGAGCAAGGGAGGGGGAGGAACAGACAAGCAGCTTGAGTGAACTGGGACCCAAGGGGCAGGCCCAAAGGTTTTAATCATCGAAGTCAGTGTTGAGGGTGTTACCGGTGAATTGCTCTGGTCCCCTCTGGGGAGGGGCTGGAGTATTGGAGCAGCCTGGTTCCTGCAGGCTAGACGAACTGGGGATAATTCACATTTACAGAGCACTTGCTGTGTGCTGGGGGCTCTGGACTGGGTGATTCATAGCCACCAATGGTTCATCTAATCCATTATCACAGTGCAGTGCTGAAGAGTATGGGCTCTGGAGTTCAAATCCTGAGTTCAAATCCCAGCTGTACCACTTCATGGGAAAACTTCTCCTAACTCCAACTTTATTAAGGTATAATTGATATACAAAAAACTGCTTCTACAATTTAGTGAGTTTGGCTTTGTGGATACACTCATGTTACCATCGCCGTAATCCAGGTAATAAACATTTCCATAATTTCTGGAAGTTTGCTTTTGTCTGTTTTGTTTGTTTCTGTATACAGTAAAAAATACCTAACCTGAGATCTACCCTCTTAACAAAATATTAAGTAAAGAATACCTTCTTGTTAACGAAAGGCACCATGTTGTACAGCAGATCTGTGCAACCTACTCATCTTGTATAGCTGTAACTTTACACAAATTATACAACCCCTATATCTCTCTTACCCTAGAAAAGCTCCTTAAACTCCCTGAACCTAGATTATCCCGTCTATAAAATGGGGACAATTATCGTGGGGATTTGAGAAGTTCGCCTTTTCCTAAACCCTCAGTAGATGTGACTTTCATTATGGTGGTGGAGATCATCCTATAATGGATCTGGTACTTTGAGGCTGAGAAGGTTAATACTCATCCTATAATGGATCTGGTACTTTGAGGCTGAGAAGGTTAATACTCATCCTATAATGGATCTGGTACTTTGAGGCTGAGAAGGCTGAAATTGGGTCTGACTTCAAAGCTCTGGCCACTGCCCTGGGCGGTCACTCTGCATTGAAATGTTGAAGCACACAGCCCTCTGTCACCTAGTAAGTGCCAGAGCTGAATCTCAAACCCAGGTAATCTTGGTAAGTTCCATGCTTGGGGGTCAGCACCGGCATTTCCCAGCTGTGTGATTAACCTCTCCCCAGAGTCCTTGGGAGTGTTCATTGAAATGATGCCCTGTACCTGTGCTCTTAGGACCTCATGGCAACACAGCCACTGACCTGGGGCTGGATTCGGTCTCCTGAAGCTCTTTAACCCGCTTCCATCAATCCCACATCAATTTCGGGAGCATCTCCAACATCATGAGAGTCACACGTACTGAGTGTTTGTAAAATTCTTAAAGCCTCACAGTTTTATAATCTTCACTTTATAGATGGGGCCATCTAAGTTCAGGGAGGTTAATGAGACCTTCCGGGAGGTGGTAGAGCTGAGATCTGAACCCAAAGTGCCTTTCTCCTGAGCCCATGGTTTTAATCCCCTGTGAGATGCAGCAGCCTGGCTCACAGAAGGTGATGCTTGCGGGTGGGCGGGTGAGGGGGTTTTGGGAGGCACCTGCTCTATTGGAAGCAGGGACTGGAGCATGACACGTGCCGTCCAGGATGCCCTCCAGGGTTCGTCGCATGAGGCGTCGCCTCCTGTTGACCACGCTGGTCGTCTGGAGCACGTGACCCTCCCACCACCTCCTGCAGCCTGGGTCCCCTCCCCGCCTGGCCTCGCCCCTCCCCTCCCCTCCCCACTCGCCTATCCCCTCCCCTCCCCTCGCCACCCCTCTTCTCCCCGCTTCTCCCCTCCTCTCTCCGCCCCTCCCCTCCGGAGCGGTACCTTTGCCCTTCCAGTGGGCATGCGCGGCAAAGCCTATGTGGCCACCGTACTTGCGGTTGAACTCAGCCATGAGGGCTTTGTACGGGTTGCGGATGAGCAGGATGGCGGCGTCGAAGGCCTCTATCTCTTTCTGGCCGCTTTCGTGCGTCTTGATGCAGATGGTCCGTCCGCTGCGCCAGTGGTCCCGCTCACCTTTAAACCCTTCCCACAGCCAGAGGTGAGGAACAGGACTTGTGAGTCCAGGAAGCAGGAAGCTCACCCCACTCACTTCCAGGCCACCTCAGGAATCCTCATGCATTTGTTCAGCGTCACTCCCGTGTTTATTGAGCACCTACTATGTGCCAGGCACTATGCTAGGACCCCGGGATTAAAATGACTTACCAAACATTCACGGGTCTTCAAAATCATTCCCAGGTCTTCCTGTTTTTGAGAGTTAGGTAATTCAAATAGTGAACACAAGTAAGTGCAAAATCTCTGCTCTGGTGAATGCTAAAAGGGGTGTATTGATGCTTGGGTGCTGGCTAGGCATGGTGGCTCTCACCTGTAATCCCAGCACTTTGGGAGGCCAAGGTGGGAGGATAGCTTGCTCCCAGGAGTTCGAAACCAGCCTGGGCAACATAGTGAGACCCCATTCTCTACAACAAAAATGTAAAAACATTTAGCCTGGTATGGTGGCATTCACTTGTAGTCCCAGCCACTCGGGGGGGCTGAGGTGGGAGGTTTGCTTGAACTAGAAGGCTGAGGCTGCAGTGAGCTATAATCATCCCACTGCACTCCAGCCTGGATGATGGAGTGAGACCCCGTCTCTTAACAAAAAAAGAAAAGAAGCAAAAAAGCCTGGATGCTATGAGAGGGGCCAGACAGCCATGTACTGGTGATTCCTCTTTGTGGGGGTCAGCGTCCCTACCTCACCAATGATGGGCATGACTTCCTTTGGCCCATGGAATAGGGGTGGAAATAGGTCTTCAGCACAGTCTCAAGACACATCGTATGTTTCTGCATACTCTCCCTGACAGAGCTCTGCTATCACCGTGAAAGGACATGCCCTGGTGGTGGTGGGGAATCCACCCAGATGAAGCCAGACACGTAGAAAGACGTGGTCCCAACCTCCAGCCTGGAGACGGGCAGCCCAGTCAGCTCAATCAAAATCACTGATCTAGTCAAGTGGCATCCAGAAAGGTTTCCTGGCGGAAGAGGTGCTTAAGCATAGAACTGAAAAATGAGGAGAAACTTACTAGCTCAAGAGAGCTGGGAAAGGAGGGCCTAGGGCTGGGAACGGAGGGCCAAGGGCTGCGAACGGAGCGCCGAGGGCTGCGAACGGAGCGCCGAGGGCTGCGAACGGAGGGCCGAGGGCTGGGAACGGAGGGCCGAGGGCTGGGAACGGAGGGCCGAGGGCTGGGAACGGAGGGCCGAGGGCTGGGAAAGGAGGGCCGAGGGCTGGGAACGGAGGGCCAAGGGCTGCGAACGGAGGGCCAAGGGCTGGGAACGGAGGGCCAAGGGCTGGGAACAGCAGACGCAAAGGGCCTGTGATGGGTAGGAAGAAATGTGTCACATACAAGTGACTGCAAAGAGAATGCAGGTAGCAAGAGGGGAGCATGGGGCTGGAGAGGGTTGTGGGGTCTGTGATGAAGAGGCCAGCATTAGACCAGAAAGACTAGGGAACTCTTAAGAGGATTTAAACAAAAAGAAGAGGAACATGATCAAGTTTTCCTTTCAGAAGCCGAGGAGCTGAGAGAAGTTCTGTGCAGCTGGAGACTAGTCTAAGGCCTTTACATATATTAAGCAATTCAATCCTCTCAAAAATTCTGTGGTGAATTTTACAGATGAGGAAACTGAGGCAGAGATGTCCCATAACTCTCCCAAGTTACAGAGCTAGAGGAGAGGCAGAGCTAAGATACAAACCTGGGTCATCCAGGCTCCTGGCACACGTGTCCTTCACCCCTTAGGCGCCCCTTAGCTCATGCAAGCTAAGGCATTTGGATACTATATTAAGGCCAGGTAGAAATGTTATTGTACCAGGCCTTCAAGATACTGGCTGTGTTTACAATTCAATGAGTCATTGTGGATATCGTGTCACCTCTCTGAGCCTCAGTATTCCTCATCTGTAAAATGGGTCCATGCACTTTCTCTCTCATGGGGCATTCTGAGAAATAAGTGAGGCCCACAGTAACACTTCAATAAATGGCAGCTAATGCAGAATAAGACTCAGGGTGAAATCATGGACTGAGAAGCCGCTTCATATCATCAAACCTTGGAGTATAGTTTCTTCCTTCCCTGTTGTGCTCTGGCTTTAAAGATGGATGGCTTGATATCTGCTTCTGTTCCTGGAGACGGGGGTCCAGAGAGGTGCAGCCTCCCTCACAGGGCCACTGAGCAGAAGAGCCAAGAATGGAATGTGATTTTCTTAATCAGGTTCCATTCTGGGACTAGCCAAGTCAAATTGCCTGGGATTAGCCTAGCCTTGCAAATTAGCACTGGCCCATCCCCATGAGAATATATTAATCCACAGCCTTTGAGGCCAATGGGAAGCACAGTGTCACGGAAAAGTCTCCTCTAGAGGAGAATGAGGACTAGGATGTGGCGGCTTGAGAGAGCGGGGGCTTGGGAGAGTGAGAGCTTGGGACATATATATTTATGCAAGGCAACACTGGATAAAATTTCACGTCATGTAGTCTTGTAGATCTCTGCATGACATGGACAAAGGGCTTTCTTTCCATGATTTCATTTTATCTTTACCAAAATCTGTTTCACTATGAGGGCAGCAATGGAAAACAGGCAGGGGGGTATACCAGAACTCCCACAGGGTCTCAACTAGGAAAAATAAATTGACAGAAACAAGGAAGGACGGTCAAACTATTTTAAATCAGCTCCATGCATTGTGAGACCCAAGTTACATTTCTATTTGTTCATCATGGGGTCAACTTAGCATAGTATTTATCAAGATTAAAAACAAAACTAAACAAAACCCCAAAAATACCTAGAAAAGCTGTAAAGACTGGGCAAGATCTGTTTCATATTCTAGATTCTGGTTGCCTGAAGAGTTTGTCTATAGGGAGTACTACAAATGTAGAGAAAATTCCATTTAGCAGAACGTCTCCCAGAGCGGGAAAGTACAGTGTCCGGAAGGAACTTTTGAGACATTGGCAAACAGAATGGGCTTGCCTGAGGGACAACGGACAGTTGCTCAGTTGTCCTCTAAAGAGGGCCTGTCTAGGTAACTGAAGGAAATCATGGATGCAAGCTTCCTGCCAGAGCGGAATTGCTGGACTCCGCCACCAGGGTGTCCCTCTCTCCACTGTCCTTGACACATAGGACCCAGCATCTCCATGACATAAGCATGGTATATTTAAATTGTATCTTTTAAGAGTCACCAAAATATCAGCTTATCTTGGCCACCCATGTGACCCTCAGACTCTAAGGGGCTGCCCAACTGTCCCAGGATTTGGAGAAACAACCTTGTTCCATGCCACAGAGAGAACAAGACATGTTTTCCCCATCTCGCTTCCAAATCTGTTACTATAGTTGCTTGTGCGTTTTTCAGTCAGGGGAGCTAAGGTACAGAGAAGGAAAGTGGCAGAGACTGCACATCTCTGCCACTTCCCTTCAAGTCCGCAATAGCCCACCCCCTATTCCTATCCTCATAGCCCTCAGAACAGTGACCACAGCTCTCAGAAGGGCATTCTAGGTGCTTTGCCAAATCTTGTTCTGGATTCCCCTTGTACTTTACACCCCAGCCCCACTCCCTCCCTTTTCCCCCTCCAACACCATCAAACTATTTGTATTCACCCATCATACTGTGCCATTCTCCTCCTTGTCTCTGTGCATGGCATGGCCTCTGCCTGGGACAGCCTCCTTTCCCTCCCTCTGAGTAAATCCTATCCATCTTCTGCACACATACCTCGAGACTGAGTTAGAAAAATATAAAGTGCCTGTCACAGCGCTGGGCCCATTGTAAATATTAAATAAAGGCCCATGATGATTAGAATTATTGACAGCGATGTGAATATGTTCATAATAATAAGGGCTATGATGAAGGAATGTCTGGGGTACAAGGAGGGTAAGGGAAGACTTAAGTTTGCCAGAGACACTGCAATGGGGAATTTGACCTGCAGCCTCAAGAGATGGTTTCCAGGCCAATAAACAAGAAATAAGAGTAGGGGCGGTGGGGATTGACATCCCAGATTTGCACGTACAAATCTCCGGCACATTCCTGAACTACAAAGAGCTCATTATACCTGGAGTCTGAGTGGGGCTGCAGAACTTTGGCCCAGTGGTGGCAAATGCAGGAAAGGATTTTATGCAGTTCAGCATCTTTCAGCTGCAAGGTGGTGTGGGGAGAGACTGGGCAGGCTTAGCTAGATTGGCTGATACCGTTGGGGGGCTAGAGGCCCTTCACTTTGTCTGCACCCCACTGCCAGCTCCTGGCTCCCAGAGAGAATTCACTGTTAACTGCAATGGCTCAGGCTGCAGGAAGGATTTTAAAGCTCCTAATGAAAAGGCAGCCACATTCAAAGACTCAGCTTCCCGTGACCAGCCCACAAACCCCTGCCTGTCTCAGTATGAATGAAGGAAATATCTAGGAACTAGACACAGCTTGAGGCAGGGAATTGCCACAGGGGGGTTATGTTTTCTTTCCATCTTTTTTTTAAAAAATCAAGATTTTTAAAAAAGATTCTAGTAGGTGTCTCACTCCATTAGTGACTAATTAATTTCTCCCAACACTGGAGTATTAACAAACACAGGGCAAAGATGAATTTTTGGAACGTTTAGGTCTGGAAGTAAGAATGCTGGGTTCTTTGTCTAGGGCTCTGGTTTTGCATTGGAACCCCCTGTGAGCTTATAAAAAACTCCAACACCTGGGCCCACACCTGAGCGTCTGATGGTGATGGGCTGAGATGCAGCCTGGGTGTCAAGACTTTAAAACCTCCCTGGGCAGTGCTAATGTGTAGTCGGAGAGCAACTCCCTTTGCCTTTGACTAAGTAACTGACCGTCCTGGTTACACAGCATTTAAACAGTGTCTGTTTTATACCACAGGCTCACTCATATTATCTCACAAACATGATCTTGTTATATTTTTTGGAAAATCTCTGAGTTCAGTACTGATATCCCCATGTAACAGATTAGGAAATTAAAGCTAAGAGAGGTGAAGAATTTTGCACAAATTCTCATAGCTGTTAAGTATCAGAGTGAACTCTCAGACTGAAAATTAGAGCTTCTGACTCCATCTTGAGATTCCATTTCTTCTTCTTCTCTGGTTAGGGGGCTGAGTTAGATCAGATGGTGAATTCTTGGTGTTTAGACCACTGTTCCCCGTTCTCTGCTTACAGCAGGCATTACTACTAGATTAAGCCATTTTGTTTCAGAGAGAGAATAGAACCTCAGAATCTTTCTTAACACATCGTCCTTAAGCAAGGATTCATTGGAATCAACACTAGATGAAACCAATTTTGATCCCTGAACTAAATGATTCTGAAGGACCTGCTGTTTGTGATATTCTGGGATTGCATGAGTAGGGTTGCTGCCACAGCCAGGAGAGGTAGAATGTGGCCCAGCCATGGCGTCTGTTCTGAACTTGCATTCCCCAGTTTCGGCTCCAGGACAAGCCGGAGAGATTCTGGAATATCCCAGCGCTCTTCCCAGCAGCTCCCACAAAGGCAGCACCTCACAGGGGTTAAGATCATAGCCCTGGGTTCAAATCCTGATATAAGCAGTAATAACCTCAGCCTGGAGCCTCATATGTAATAGGTACTTAATACACGACTTCTCAGACCAAAACTGAAAATTAACAAATATATACAAAGTTGGGATTCTCAAGCAGATTCCCTGCCTGACCCCTGCCAACCCCTACCATCAGCCTGTCCCTCTTCACCCTTCTTGCCATTTCTCCCCTAGCCTCTGCCTCCCTCCTATGTCTCACCCTGAGAAAGACATGCGCCTGGCTATGACTGTCTATCAGCACCAAGCTGTGCCTGGCTAGTGCCTGGCACCCAGACCAGAGTACCCAGAGCCAACATTTATTGATGATGTTGAATGTGGCCCAACACAAATTCGTAAATTTTCTTAAAACATTATGAGTTTTTTTTGGTTATTTTACTTTTATTTATTTATTTTTTTAGCTCATCAGCTATTATTAGTATTAGTGTATTTTATGTATGGTCCAAAACAATTTTTCTTCTTACAGTGTGGCCCAGGGAAGACAAAAGATTGGACATCCCTGCTTTGAAACAACCTCATGAGGTACATACTCTTATCTCTAATTTGTGCATAAGGACACAGAATCAGAGAGGTATAGTAACTTGCCTAAGGGCACACAGCCAGGAAGTGGTCTTCAGCTGGTTTGCAGACACAAAGACCATGGCCAAGGGCTATTCCACATGTAGATGCAAAGCCTCCTTGTCTCCCACCATGCTCAGGAGAGGGCTTCATGCCTAAAGGGGCATTTCATCCATGATTTCTTGTTCCTCAGTAAGAAACCTGGGAATTTCTTTTCCTTCCTTCCTTCCTTCCTTCCTTCCTTCCTTCCTTCCTTCCTTCCTTCCTTCCTTCCTTCCCTCCCTCCCTCCCTCCCTCCCTCCCTCCTTCCTTCCTTCCTTCCTTCCTTCCTTAGAAAGGAAGTCTCACTCTGTCACCCAGGCTGGAGTGCAATAGTGCGATCTCAACTCACTGCAACCACTGCTTCCCGGTTCAAGTGATTTGAACTGATCTTAAACTCCTGACCTCAGCTGATCCGCTCACCTCGGCCTCCCAAAGTGCTGGGATTACAGGTGTCAGCCACTGTGCCTGGCCAGAAACCTAGGACACCTAACTTAGGAATTGCATCCAGAACATTCCAGGGCTCAATAAACATCTGTGAATGGAATGAAAATAGATTACCCTACATTGTGAATATTGTTGACTTAAATGTGGAGGGGACCTCTGGTGTACAGTAGGTGCTCAATAAATGTCCCCAAAGTGAACATGGTTCTTGTACCTCTATTACATCAAAGAGTTACTGGTCAGTAAACATTGTGATGACGTACCAGCACATAGTAGGTGTTTAAGGAATGTCTGTGGTGACTTAAATGGAGGAAAGGTACCAGGCACGTGATAGGTACTTGATAAATGTCAATTATTGAACAGATGCTGGTGGAGTATCTAGGACATGACTCAAGAAATGTTTGTGGGGCATAAAGGAACGGGGGGAGTACCAAGCATGCAGTGAGTCTCAATAAGTGTGCTTGGGAGAGTGGCACACAGTAGGTACTCAAGGAAGAGTATTCCCATACCCTCCATGTGGGGACCTTCCCAAGCCCAGGGAACCTCCTGCCCTGCCCTCCCTGCTGTCTCCTCACCTTTGTTGTAGAGGGAGCCATCGAAGTAGTAGCTGCCAGTGTAGAAGCCTGTGGCCAGCTCAATGAGGTGGCGAGCCCACGTGTTGCCGGCACCTGGGAAGCTGGCCAAAGCAATGAGCTGCTTGGACTTGCCTGGCAGGAACCTTCTGTCCATGCAACGGTTGTCTGAAAAGGGCAAGGCATGGACAGAGGTCAATGCCAGGGGCAGATGGAGCCTGTCTGAAAGGAACCAGGGTATGAATCCTACCCCTGCCACTTCTCAGCCAGGTGATCTGCTGCACAGGACACTTGCCTGGGTCACGGGAAAGCTTCCTTGGGCCTTGCCTCAGTTTCCCCATCTGTAAAATGAGGGAGATGGTTCATCCCTCATAGGGTTGAGGTGAGTGTTAAATGGGATAATGATGGAAAGGGATAAACACAGTGCTTAGCCCATAGTAGGGACCCATTGAAAGTCAGCTAGGAGGGTGAATCTTCTCTCCAGCCTCAGTTTTCCCCCAGCAGAGCAAGTCTTTTCCATTCTCCTGTACCCTTTCCTCCAGATTGAAACCGTCAATGGCATCCGTCTTATATTTTCCATTATTCGTGTATTTTGTGGGCTCCGAAAAGCCAGAGTCAGGAATATTCAAATGGTACTCACTACCTTCCAACCCATTTTACATATAAGAAAATTGAGGGCTAGAGAAAAATAATATCTATGCCTTTTGAGCATAGGATGGAGTCCAAGGTTCTTATCTTGGCCTCCAAGCCCACATGGTTTGGCTTTGCAAACTCAGAGGCCCATTCTAATACACTCCACCACATGCCAGCCACCTGGTTTCTCTATACTTCCTCTTCTGTGCTCTGTTCCATCCTGACATAGCGCCTTCATGCAGCTGTTCCCCCTCCATTGCCTCCTACCTGCCTTTGCTTTTTGTACTTCAGCTCTCAGCTGAATGCGTCCATCTGTCTGTCCGTCCGTCCTTCCTTCCTTCTTCCTTCCGTCTTTTCCTCCTCCCTGCCCTCTTTTCCTAACTCCCTGAGCTGTCATTAGTGTGTTACTATATCCATCTTCTTCTATTGTTGATCACACTTGCAATTCATGTAATTATTCATGCAATTAGTCGTGTGGTCAGAAACCCTGCCCATATTGTGTTTTGCTGATTCACCAAAACTTTCCATAATATCTGGTATACAGCTGGTACTTAATAACTGCTTCTGGGATGGATGGGTGAATGGGTAGAATGGCGAAGGGGTGGATAACAATAATATCATGTAAGGATTACAAGGGGTGGATAACAATAATATCATGTAAGGATTACATGAAACAGAGTGTGTAATATGTTAATACTCTAAAGTGCTCAAAATGCATACCTATTATTTTTCTATAGCCCTCAGTTTCCTCATCTGTAAAAAGGGTTGGGAGGTGGTGAGTACCATTCAGATATTCTTGATTCTCTGGCTTTTTAGAGCTCACAGAATGCCATTACCATCAGAATTAACAGAAAATACAAGCCCAGCACCTCCCACTGCAACCCCAGTGGGAGCTCAGAACGCACAAGCTTTTCTTTTGGTCACCTCAGTTGCAAGGGCAGCTGAGGGAAGGCTCAGAGCAGGGGGAGCTGGAGCAGAAAGGAAGATGAGATCCTGGCCTAGAGGCCCCAGGTCTCAGTGCTGCCTTCTTCAACAGGGGGCAGATGATCTTCACCCTTATTTACCGTCCAAGGGAAGGCAGGCAAACCTCCCTCACCTCCCCTGGCCCCTCTCCTCCATCTCTCCTCCTTCTGGGGGAAGCCACCCATCCCCTGCTCATGTGTGCAGACCACATTCCCTCCATTCTCTTCAAGCTCCTTGCTCCTTCCATCCCCCAATACCTTCTCTCTGTCAGCCGGCTCAGTCACATTAGCACTCAAACAGGAACAAATAGTTCCATCATTTAGAAAGAGCCCCTTCCAGTGACCACCAGCGCCCCTTCACCCTATCACTGCCGCATTGCCAGCAGAGTTGTCCGTATTCCCTCATGTTTCCTCCCTTCTATCTGCTCCTCGGCCCTTGCACTTGGCCTCTTCCCTGCTCACTGCCCCAACCAGTTATGGACAAGGTCCTCACTGACTACCCCATGCTCAGTTCAACAGACAGGCTCGCCTCACGTGACTAATCAGGATCAAGGGCAGATCACTCTGCCTTCCATAGGTAATTACTTCCCAAGTTTTTACCGGGGTCTTTCCTGTTCTGCATTAGCTCCTGTTTATTGAAGTCTTACTATGAGCCTCATTGATTTCATACAAAAGCCCTTTGAAGGAGAGGTATGAATTCCTAGATTTAAATTTCAATTCTTTCACTTACTTGCTGGGTGACATAGGAATAAAATGATCTATCTGAGCCTCAGTTTGCTCACTTGTAAAATGGGACTATTAAGCAGTGATGACAGCCTGAGGTTGTTTAAGAGAATGAAACTCATGAATGAATGCAGTGTTAGAGTAAGACAAACATGCGGGAAGTGCCTGTAGAATTTACCGTGGTTTCTGGTGGTGTTGCTGCTAGCTAGAGGTTCAGCTCTCTTCTCCCGCCTGTTTAATCTCTGTTCTGAGATGAGCAGATTTAGCAGAAAATAAACCAAGAGACATCTATGTTGAAGCCAAGTAAGCTTCTGGGGATGGTTTTCACTGGAGTACACTGCAAAAAGGAACCCAGGCACAGGGACTTTCTAGAATATGGTTATGTTTTATAGTTTGATAGGGGAGTGGATTACCCAGTTGACATTAACTAGTACACTAAAAATATGTGCACTCCACTCTGTGGAAATGTTACTTTAGAAAAGCTAATATTGAATTAAAACCAACGACGACATCCTGAAGTACAATGATGTTTGCGACTTACTTTGTAATGCACCAAAAATTAGGAAAGACTGAGGGAGGGGGAAATGGAGAGATGGACAATAAAGTAAATACAGCGAAAGTTAACATATGTCACAAAATCTATGGAATGAGTATATAGGTGTTCACTGGATAATCCTTCTGACTTTTTTGGAGGTTTGATTTTTTTTTTTTTTCTAGAATAAAATATCGGGTTAATAGGTCAGGTGGGGCAGACCAGGCTCCTTAATTTCCTCCAAAAACAGAATTCTCTATTCAAATACTTCCTGGAAGGCCAGGGCCAACCCCAAGGTAAAAGCTATGGTTCTCAGTGCTATAAAGCAAGTTGATTTGGTTCCTAAGCCCCATAAATTAAGCAGATGTTAGAGGCAATATCATACGCAGTTTTGGAATCAGACTGACCTGGGCTTCCATCCAGAATGGTCTACCTATGTGACACTCAACAAGGCTTTCGCCTCGCTCAGCCTCAGTTTCCACACCTATCAAACAGGGCTAATAAACCTTATGGGATTATGTGGGATAATGAGTGTGAATTAGTCACAGTGTATTTTGAGAAGCTAGGGTGGAGAGTGCAGTCTTGGGACCTCGACTGCCTGGGTTTGAATCCCCATACAGCCCTGTCTGAGCTGTGTGACTCTGGCCAAGTTGCTGTGCCAAGTCACCTCATTTGTAAAATGGTAATAACAGTGCTTATGCAACTGGACTGTTTGGATGATTAGATGATTTAAGGCAGGTAAAAGACTTGACACAGCCTGGCACAGAGCAAGTGTTCAATAATTATTTAGTTCCCATAAGGGGCATCAGTGCTTAGCACACAGTAGGTGCTCAATAAATGGCAGCCCTGGTGGGCCAGGCTCTTGGCAGGCTGATGAGCCACATAACTGTCAAACGTCCCCCGTGTGTAGAAACTGCAAGAGTGACGTGGAAAAATGCAAGCCTTAGTAATGGCCTGGGGGTAGGGCACTGAGAATGAGCAAACTCATCAATTAGGAAATCGTTATCTGCTGTTGAAAAGGCTCCAGTGTCTGTTCTGGCCACCTCAAAGCCATTCATGATCACAGAGTAATTAATCTGTGTATGACTTTCCCCTACAGGCTGAGGCAGCACAGCTCTGCACAGACTAACCAACACTTTTCCGAAAGCTAACAAAGACCCATCCTTCCCAATCTGACTGTAAATAGGGCCAAGAGCCACATGCTCACTAGGCTCTTAGAAGGACTTTAGCTACCATACAAACAGCCACAGTTGATCACTGCTGGTACCCCATCTGTCAAACAGGGACAGGCTGTTGGTGAGGCTGCCACTAGCTCTTACAGAACTTTTGTGCAGATCAGAAAAAGGTGCCCACTCCTTCGTCTGGATAGATGTTCTGCCATGCAGGGCACACATGTGGCTAACTTTCAGGAACCACCTTTTCTGTAGACTGTGCCAGTGCATTGCTCAACCTGCTCAACCACATATGGCAGCTTGGTGACTGGGAAATGGCGAGGAGGATGTCTAGTCCAGTGGTGCTTTCTTGGCTTTCCAGACCGTGAGGAGTGTCACCGGAGCATGGGCAATGGTTTCTAGCAGGAGCTTTGGAGTCAGACACCTGAAAACAAATGCTTTTGTAGATGTATAATTGTGGCCAGTTCCTGATCTCTCTGAATCTTAGTTCTGTCGTCTGTAAAGTGGGGATGATACTGCCCTGATCATAGGTTTACTGTGGGCTTCACATCACGAAATGAGAGAGGCTTGGCATAAGGACTGGTACATAGTAGATGGCCAATATATTCAGACATTGGGGTGATCCTTCAGGGACTTCCTTTGGGCTGAGTGTCCTGGCAAGGGATGCCTCCAATCCCCACCCAAGTGCCACCCCCTCTTCATGATACCTTGTCAAGAGAAACGATTTTTATTGGGAAAGTTTATAAACACTATGACTTAAGGTAAGCTCCTCAACTGTTCTGAGTCTCAATCCCACCCCCTCACAGTAAAGAGGGCATATTGACTGTTTCCAACTTATAGAGAGTTGAGGGGATTCAATGAAAAAAATGCATGTGAAGGACACAACACTGAGTCTGGCACAGAGTAAGACCAGACCTTGAGAAACCCCAAATGTTGCTGCCTCCTCCTCTTCCTCCTTCTCATCACCATCATCATTACCATCATCAGCACTATCAGCATCACTATTACCACTATCATCACCATCATCCTCATCACCATCATCATAATCATCATCATCACCATCACTACCATCATAATAATCATTATCACCATCATCATAATCATTATCATTATCACCATCACCATCATCACTATCATCATTATCATCATGATCATCACCATCATTATCATCACCATCTTCATTATCATGATCATCACCATCATCATCACCATCATCTTTATCATTACATCATCACCATCATCATCATGATCATCACCATTATCATCACCATCATCATCATGATCATCACCATCATTATTATCATGTTTGATAGCCCCAAAAGACAGAAGAGGAGATAACAGGAAGTGTGGATTCCATTAGCTAAGGAAGAAGACTAGAAGTGGAAAGGGTGAGTGAGACAGAAGGGAAAGAAGAACTTATAGATAAATTTACAACATCTTAGCATTGGAAGGAATCTTGGAGGCCAACGGTCTACAGCTTCATTTTATAGATGGAAAAACGGAAGCTTGGGAAGGGGAAATGACTTGTCCAGGATCTGTGTTGCAGCCAGTGGGAGGCTCAGTCTCTCGTCTCATTCAGTCTCACTACAGGAGCCACCAAGGGTCCTCAGTGATGAGGGATAGAGATGAGTCATCAGAACCCTCCCCACCCTGGGCACTCCTGTTGCCTATCCAGGAACTCTAAGCCTGGTGGAGTTCACCAGCCCTGCCCTCTGCCCTCTGGCTTGCATGGTTCTCTCCTTGCTGTGGGCTGTGTGGGATGGACTGGTGGGGACATGTCTGGGAGGGAAGTCACTGGGAGTGCATCTGGGGTCCACTGGGGAAGGGCCTGGCTCACCTTGGACTTGTGTCTGGTACACAATGAAGTAACTAGGAGTCCCGCAGCTCTCAAACTCCTCCGCGCTGCACTTCTGGGCACAGAGCTGCTCATCCTCTCTGTCATGGAGCGGGAATCGGGTGGTGGGAAACCCACAGTGGCAGGCGTTGCCTGCAAGAGCTGCCAGCGGGTACTCCTGGGGATGGAGTGGGAGAAGAAGAGGAAGAGAGTTGCTAAATTCCTGGACAGCTTCAGACTCCAAATGGAGAACAGGATTTGCATTCCAACAACTGCCTTCTCTGTCACTCTCCCTCAACTTGAGAGTCCCCAGATTCCATCCCCGAACCCTGCTTTTATTATTTTGCCCCATCTGTGCACCTTCTGTACTATTGTTTACTTATTTGTTTCCTTTAAGTTGATTCACATTTTAGTAGCTAAAATTTCAAAGGATACTTTATATTGCTACCATGAATAGTAATTGTGGACAAGTAGCACTTCCATACATCTCCATACTGTAAATGCACGTACTATAGAAACAAAACAAATGATGAAATTCTGCCTAGGCACTCTGGCCAGCCAAGACTCTGAGCCTGGTGTTGGCTCCATTTTTCCTGCATAGAGAGTAGTTGAGGGTGAGAGGTGTTGATGCTTGAACACTGAGATGAAGCTTTCTCCTGGAAGAATTGAAAGAGAACTGAAAAAGAAATCCCTTTCTCACGGTCATGTGATACACCACAGTAAATGCCCCCTTGGTGAGATGGTGATATGGGACCCATGCTTTTGGAAAAGCTGTCTGAGTCTGCTCTTTTAAGCCAAAGGAGATACTGGTGCCTCTGTGTTCCCAAAGTCTTTGTTGGGAGAGCTGTTTCTGATTGCTTTATTTGTTCTATTGGACAGCTAAGTGGGGACAGGATGGACCTGAGATCTGGTGGGCAAGGGTCTGTCTTTTGCCCAATTTGCTTGTAAACTGGACCTACCATCCTACTTCTCCTGGTGGCTGGTCCAGGACTAATCTGATGGCAAACCAGGGTCATACCTGCGTGGCTGGATCCAGCCAGCTTTGTCATGGTAGCTTTGGTTTCTTTCCTAAAAGATACTAAATAGGAACTGTGGTGCCCAGCTGAAAAGCAGAAGTGCTGATGTGCTGGAGGGTCAGCTTGGGCCATGACTAACTAATAAGAATGCTGGAGCCTCCTCTGGCACCCTAAACCCCAGACCCTCTATCACTTGACACAAGCAGCTCTGTATCCTGGTCCACTTGATCCCTTAGTTTCTCTCCTTTGCCTTCTAAGGAGATCAGAGAAAACAGGAAGAGGGAGGTTTGCAGTAGGACTTCTTGTTCACACATACACACCCTCACTTCTCTGCAGTCCTGTGTACAGTCTATCACTTTGCTACACTAATTTGCATCATGATCTCCCTGTCCCACCCTTGTTTGTCCCCCAACTTCCAGGGGATCTATAGGTTCCCCCAGGGCCCTCTGGAAGTGAGGGACTGCAGTGTGGGTGGAGGGATTCCTGCTAAGGGGAGAGAGCTGGACCAAATAATAGCCAAGCCTTCTTTAATCTCACAAACGTCACCTCCCATTTTCCAGGATGCCTTTAAAAAATATATATATATAAATTTATTTATTTTACTTTAGGTGCATACTGTATCTGGCATTTCTCCCCATGTTATCCCTCCCCACCCTCCCCTCCCTCTCCACCCCCAACTGTCTCTCCTCTACCCCGCCCCCCAACTACCCCCAGTGTGTGATGCTCCTCTTCCAGAGACGCAGCAATCCCATTACTGGGTATATACCCGAAGAACTATAAATTGTTCTACTATAAAGACACATGCACATGTATGTTCATTGCAGCCCTGTGTACAATAGCAAAGACCTGGAACCAGGATGCCTTTTAGGAGCACATCAAGCCCTTAAAAAAAAGCTTGGTGATTTGAGGTTGACTGGTCCTCTCGAATGGCTCTGGGAAGCCTCTCTGATGGGGTCAGAAGTTTAAGAACTTGAATTTGAAGTCAGTTCCCAGTGTAAACTCCAGCTCTGCCACTCACTTGTGCTGAGAACTTAGGCAAATGACTTCACCTGTGTGAGTCTTGGTTTTCTCAACTGTGAAATGGGACTGAAAATGTCAAACTCATAGGCTTGGCCTGAGAAGTAAACCGTGTGATCCATGGTGCACAGGGCTGCATGGAGGATGTTCTCTCAGCAAACAGCCACTGCTGTGATGCTGCAGCCTTTTAGATTTCCAGAGAAATGCTTCATGCCTTAGCAGCCCAATGAATGAAGATAAATAGCCAAGCAGGATGACTCAGAGTAGATGGGGCATCCAGGACTCAGGGTGTGGTCTGAGCACCCAGAAGGTGCCACAATGCAGATGCCCAGCGAATGCCTGCATCCTTGAGGATAGAGATCGTGTCTTGTTACTTTGCATCCCCAGCACTAAGCAGGAGTCCTGACATACAGTAGGGTCTTATTAAATATTTGCAGATTTGGTGTGATGGTGATACACCCATGCTTTGGGGAAAGCTTTCCGAGTTTGTTCTTTCAAGCCAAAGGAGATACTGATACATCTGTGTACCCAGAGTCTTTGTTGGTAGATGTGTTTCTGATTGCTTATTTGTTCTAATGAACAGCTAAGTAGGGGCAGGCTGGACCCGAGATCTGGTGGGCAAGGGTCTGTCTTTTGCCCATGTTGCTTCTAAACTGAACCCACCACCTCTAGTTCTCCCTGGTAGCTGGTCCAGGACTAATCTGGTGGCAAACCAGGGTCACACTGGCGTGGCTGGATCCACTGGCCAATGGATCTGTGTGACTCAGATCCACTGAGTCTGAGAACGGATTCAGACAGATTTTCCCAAAGCATGGGTCCCATATCACCATCACACCAAGGGGGCATTTTCTGTGGTGTATTGCATGACCGTGAGAAAGGGATTTCTTTTTCAAGTCTTGCAGGAGAAAGCTTCATCTGAGTGTTTAAGCATTTATACCTCTCTACCCTCAGCTACTCTCTAGAAGGAATGAAATGCTCAACCATCTTTTTGTGGTGGAGGAGGGATGGTTCTCCTCTGGGCACTTTAGTAATTAGATCATTTTGAGAAAAAGCTGGAGCTCCTTGGACATTGCTGAGTGCTGGTTATGTGCCCAGTTCTGTGCTGGGGGTATTGAAGCAGGGCACAAAATGTACGAGGTACAGCCCCTACCCTCCAAGAGTTCACAGTCTGGCTAGGGAAGAAGCATAAACAGTCAGACATCTAGCATCTTATGCCAGAAAAAAGATCATCCAGCCCAAGTGCTATCCAGTGCCCAAAGCTCTGGGTGATGCCTCTGCTCGCACACCTCCAGCAACGGGGACCTCCCTCTGCCCCAATGTGGGGCTGTCCTTACCTTTACCTGGCATTTTTTTAATGCTCCTAGGCCCAGTTCAAATGTCACCACCTGATATGGTTTGGCTGTATCCCCATCCAAATCTTAGCTTGAATTGTAGCTCCCATAATCCCCATGGGAAGGACCTGGTGGGAGGTAACTGAATCATGGGGGTGTGTTTTCCCCATGTTGTTCTCATGATAGTGAATAAGTCTCACGAGATCTGATGTCTGTAAAAATGGCAATTTCCTTGCACATGGTTTCTTGCCTGCCGCCATGTAAGACATGCCTTTGCTCCTCCTTTGGCTTCACCATGATTGAGAGGCCTCCTCAGCCATGTGAAACTGTGAGTGCGCATTAAACATCTTTTTTTTAAAAAAATTAATTACCCAATCTGGGGTATTTCTTCATAGCAGTATGAAAATGGACTAATACACACTCATTCCTAAGTATTCCTCAGTATTAAAACTCACTTCCTCAAAGGCAGAAAAATCTATTCTGTGCAGCTCCAACCCCTCAGGTCCATATGAAACAGTCACATCCCTCTCCCATGTCATAGACCCCAGTCAACAACTGCATCTGTCCTGACTGAGCTGTTGCATCTCCAGCCAAGCATGTGGTTCCTTCAGCTGTCCTGCACCATCCCCTCCTCCTGAGTTATGTGGTCCCCACCTTGGGCTCACCTTCTCTGTGCAGAAGTCCACGCATTTGTCCACGGACATGTTCAGCATGGCAGCTGTCACGGGTAAGGCCAGGGAAAGGTTGTCAGGCCTGCGAAAGCAGCCCCGGAACACTGCACTTCCATCTGAAGAGCCAGAGAGAAGAGGGCCAGTCAGATATACAAGGAGTCAGATCTGGAGTGGAAAACCACCTTCTGAAGAAAGCTCAGAGAAGGCAAGATTCTGGCCCCAGGTCACAGAGCGAGTCAAAGCAGAGATGGAAAGAATGGCCATGTTTTCTGTTCTTGAAAAGGTCTGCTCATGGTCAATGAGCCTGATACATCAAAGCTCAACCCTGGCCTCAACCCTGGCCCCTTTGTCAACCCTGCCCCCTTTGTCAACAACCCAGGTTGCTGAGATGAGGTTCTTCCTGAGCCATACTATCCCTTTTTAGTCAGACTCCCATGCCTTATTTGCTCATCCCCAACCATGGCAATGCCCCATCCAGGGAAATGATAAAGTGCATGGAGAATTGTTGTAATCTCATTAGGACTGAGTAGGACTAAGGGAAGCAAGGGGTCCAGGGCTGTCTTGTCGTTACTCACTACTACCAGGGTTCTCCTCTCCCTCTTATTGCCCTGGGCTTTAGGGGAAAAGTCTTGGGCCTCAGAAGTCCCTACCTACTCAGTATTGAGCACCATGACAAGCTGCAAAGGACTGACATGTCAGAGGGACTCCCTTTAAGAAAATTTAACCCAGAAATAGTGCAGCTACACAATAAAAAATTTGGGGCCCACTGTCAAATCTTCAATAGAAGTGATACCTTAAAATATTCAGAGATGCTATCTTAGGCTGGGGCCGCTGAAGCAGAGCCTGAGACAAATGTTTTATTGAAGGTGTGCTCTCCGATAAAGAAATCAGAGAGGCAGGACCTGACAGAGCTAACTGAGGATGTGACCTCAGCTGGGTCCCTCCTCCATCCTGGTCTCACAGTGGGAATCAGGGGGGTGCTCTGGATGGGAAACTGCACTGTAGAGCTGGCTCCACCTTACGGAAAGGAGGCTGCCTTGCATTGGCCTTGTCTATCCTAGCCTCCAAGGTCAGTCAGCTTTTAGCTGTGGGCTGTCCCCCAGGGTGGGGCATAACTTCCTGGGAGGGGCTGCTTGCTCCTGATGGGCCCAAGGCTATTTTTCAGAGAAGGGGGCCATTGTGAGCCATTCATTGCCACCAACAGTCACCACAGTAAAGAGGGCTCCGGTGGGCGCCTATAGCATCCACTGCAGATGTACGAAAAGGTTTATCAATGAGGATGTTCACTGCAGCACTTTAAAAATTAACAAGTGAAGGAGTAGAAACAACCTAGGTGTCCAGCAATAGGATAATTGGGCTAGGAATGTCTGGAATGACAGCACACAATGGAATTGTATTGAAAGTGGAATTCCATTGAAAGAAATGGTGTTAAAGGATATTTTAGCCAGATGAAGATGTTTTTAAGATATGAAGTTAAATGAAAACAATATAAAATTCTACATGTTATAAAATACCAATTTTGTAAAAAAAAATTAATCTCTAGAGATTATGCCAGCATGTTAATAACTGTGATGTCCCTGGACAGTAGGTGTGATGGATAAATGTTATGTGTCAATTTAGCTAGGTCATGGTGCCAAGTTGTTTGGTGAAATACTGGTCTAGATGTTGCTCTGAAGGTATTTTATGCATGTGATTGACATCTACCATTAGTTGAACTTAAGTAGAGGAAATTATCCTTGATAATGTGGGCGAGCCTCATCCAATAAGTTGAGGGCCTTAAAAGCAATCCTAAGGCTTCCTGGAGAAGAAGGAATTCCATCTCAGGACGGCAGCATTAGCTCCTGCCTGAGTTTCCAGTCTGCTGACCTGCCATACAAATTTCGGACTTGCCAGCTCCCGCAATTGCATGAGCCAGTTTCCTTAAAATAAATATCTCGGTCTATCTATTCACATGTCCTGTTGGTTTCAATCCTATTGGTTCTGTTTTCTTGGAGAACTCTGACCAATCCAGTAGGAATATCAGTAATTTTTATTTCCATCTCTTTGTAAAACTCATTTCTTTTTTCTACATTGAATATGTATTTTATGTAATAAAGACAAATTTAAAAAAGTGAAGCCATGGCAGGGAGATTGCTTGAGGCCAGGTGTTCAAGACCAACCTGGCCAACACAGTGAGACTCCATCTTTATTAAAACAGTTTTTTTAAGTGACCACTGTTAAATCTTTTGAAAGGCTTGTGATACGTATTTAAAATTGGGTTCAGTTATTACTCAGATTTTGAGTTGTAGATGCCCTTCCAGAAGCATAGCCATCCACATGAAACAAAGGGCATTGCTAACACGGAGTGATCAAAACCACCAGCCCAAGAATGGGCCCCATTTATTGAGTCCCTATTATGTGTCATCTGCTCTGCTGAGCACTTCAGAAACATCAGCTCATGTCACCTTCTTGAAAATCCCACAAGGTTCATCGTAAACTCTCATTTCACAGATGAGAGAAACAGGGCTTTGAGAGAAGATGTTGCAAGACAAATCTAAGGACCCATCTTTTACAGAAACTTACTGAGGCTCATCTCAGAATCAAAATATTAGCTAGCCCTCGGAAAAAAGCAAAGCAAGTTGCAAAAACCATATGTCTCTCTCTATAGCGGTGTTTGGGTCTATCTAGAGTATAAAAGCACTTTTTAGCATACACATATATATTTATATTTATGCACAGAGAAGAGGATGTAGAATAACTCTCTGAGCAGAAGGGTGGGGGGAGGGTGTTTATGAATGATACTTTTTTATTTTAGCTACCAAAGGCATCTTAGTGATTCTTTCTACCACATGGCACCTGGTAGCCTGAAGTTGCTCATTGCAGTGGCAAGTCAAGAAAACTAAGAGGACATTAGGAATTTGATTAAATAGCTGATTTCCAGGGCATGCCCCAGACTCCTGCTATTTTAGCTTTCTGGGTCTCCAGCTTTATCCTGGTGAGACAAATGACAGTGGTAGTGGTGACAGTGGTAGTGGTGACAGTGCCAGGGTGCTGCTGATCTGCTGCATGGTCCCTCCAGGCCTCAGTGTCCCACATATAAATGAGGACTAGGAGTTAGACTATGCAATGACTCTCTTGCCTACTACCCTGGGAACATTCAAAGAAGTGTGGGAACACCTTTGATGGCCCCAGTGGTTTGAGGCCACTGGCACTTGAAGGGCTGAGGGCAGAAATGTGCATGCCTGTTTTGTATAGGACAGCCCTTCACCACCTAAACAAGCACATCCCAAATGCTACCAGTGCCCCATAGAGAAACACTAGACACTCTTCCATCTTGCGGACTGGGGTGCTGAGAGGGATGCCCTGTAAGGTCACCCAGAGGATGATGTTCATAGAATGTGAACCCCTCATACAAGGTGAGGGGAGGGAGGGAAGTGGAGATATATACACACATGTGTGTTTGTGTGTGTGTGTGACACCAAGTTTTGCTTTGTCACTCAGGCTGGAGTACAGTGGTGCGATATTGGCTCACTGCAACCTGCAGCTCCTGGGTTTAAGTGATTCTCCAGCTTCAGCCTTCTGAGTAGCTGGGATTATAGGCGGGCACCACCACACCCAGCTAATTTCTGTATTTTTAGTAGAGACAGGGTTTCACCATGTTGGCCAGGCTGGTCGGGAATTCCTGACCTCAAGTAATCTGTTTGCCTCAGTCTCCCAAAGTGCTGGGATTACAGGCATGAGCCAATACACCCTCCTGGGAGGTGAGCATTTGAGCTAAAGATTTATGGCAATGAGGCAGAAAGTCCCAAGTACTGTGGATGAACCCTCACTTAACTAGAAAACTCAGTTAGCTGGATGCTAACTCAGGTCACTGGGCAATGAGATGTTGCTTTCCCTCTCTATCTTTCCAGTCCACTTGCATTTACTGAGTTCCTGCTGATGCCGGGCTCCATGTTGGGAACTCTGGGTCCGTTCAGTCTTCATAGCAGCCATAGGCAGTAGAAGCTATGGGTACCTCCATCTCACAGATGAGAAAACTGAGGTGGTTCGGGAAGGCTTTCTGGCTTCCAGTGTTACAGAGCTGGCAAACGGCAGAGTGCGATCGAAGCCAGGTTTTCTGTCTCCAAAGCCTGTGCTTCTTCCAATAATAATGATACTATTATGAATAGACGCTTACATTACTATAATGTTGGCCAGGTACAGTGGCTCACACCTGTAATCCCAACACTTTAAGAGGCCAAGGCAGGAGGATCCCTTGAGCCCAGGAATTTGAGACCAGCCTTAACAATATAGCAAGACCCCATCGCTACAAATAATTTTTTTTTTTTTTTTGAGACGGAGTTTCGCTCTTGTTACCCAGGCTGGAGTGCAATGGCGCGATCACGGCTCACCGCAACCTCCGCCTCCTGGGTTCAGGCAATTCTCCTGCCTCAGCCTCATGAGTAGCTGGGATTACAGGCACATGCCACCACGCCCAGCCAATTTTTTGTATTTTTAGTAGAGATGGGGTTTCACCATGTTGACCAGGATGGTCTTGATCTCTTGACCTCGTGATCCACCCACCTCGGCCTCCCAAAGTGCTGGGATTACAGGCATGAGCCACCACTCCCGGCTACAAATAATTTTTTAAAAAATTGGCTATGTGTGGTGGCACACACCTGTACTCCCAGCTACTTAGGAGGCTGATATGGAAGAGTTGCTTCAGCCTAGGCAGTTGAGGCTGTAGTGAGCCATGATCATGCCACCACACTCTAGCCTGGTTGACAGAGTGAGATCTTGTCTTAAAAAAAATATTTGATATTGTTGTGATAATTATTGCTACCATGTACTGATTGTGTGGTATGTGCTGGAAAGTAGGCTGAGCTGTTGACACAACGTGGTCTCAATGAACTCTCCCATTCACCCTGGTCGTATGTGGCTTCCCAGTTTTATAGATGAGGAAACTCAAGGCTTAGAGGACTGAACCTGCTTGATGCAGGTCACCCAGTTTGCAAGAGTCAGTCTGATATCTTTGATATTTATCAAGTGCTAGGCTTTGTGTAAATGCTTGATATATCTTATGTGGTGGAACCTAACCCTTAGCAGGGAGATCTTATTCTCTCCATTATAAAGAAGAGAAAACAGGTGCAGAGGGGCA